ATTCGCATAACATCCTTTCACTTAGTTGCATTTTTCAAGAACCTAACTACGACGTTGAACAAGGCGTGGCTGTATATAAAGAGACTCATGTCATGAACTCCTGCTAGGTACATACACATACATATAACGTGTGTGGGTGTGTACAGGTTTCCCTTGCTAACCATGGTTTTGAGTAGCCACGCTTAATATTATATATACCATTTGGCTACCATGGTATACAGTTTTGAGTAACTGTGTTCTGTTTTCCCATGTTGCTTTGCACTTACGTAGAGCTTGTTCTTCTGTGGATCTCGTGTGTCATTATGAAGTGCCACATGTCAAATTAAGACAGGTTCTTTGCGTAGATGTGATATCTTTTATTAAACCAACTGAGTAGTTGGAAAAAGTTCTTTGCAAGCTTTTGGGCTCAATCACCCTTCTTCAGGCATAGGGAGTCTGCTGCTCTGAGACTCCAAGGAACGAGAGAAGCTAAGAGTGTGACAGGATGTCAGTGAGAAGGTAAATAGCTGGAAATTAGGAAAACAAAGAGGTGGGGGCGGGGGGGGGAGCCAAACTTGAGTAATGGAGACTCTACAGTAGTAAATTTTCAAGGAAAAAAAGAGGCTGTCTGCGAAAAAAGTAAATAGCTGGAAATTAGGAAGACGAAGGGCAGAAAAGGAGGGGAGGAAGGAGGGAAAGAAAAATGTAAGCATTCAGGTCATAAGCCAGATTTCTTTCATGTCACAAAGGAATAGTCTCACAGTTCTCTCCTGTTTTTTAGAAGCGTTGTGACTCCAATATAGTGAATGAGATCTGGTATGTAAATTTTCCCAGCTCTTCCAGAAATGATCTCATGCTTTCTATTTCTTGGTTGTCCTGTGCGTCACATGAGGGAATAATGAATCACTTAAATGTCAAGGTAATGTAGAAAATTATTGTCTCTTGAAACAGATGGGAATAGACTTCCTGGCTTCTTGGTTCTGATAAGTCAAAGGTATTTTGATTTAATTTTAAGGAACGTCGCATAAGAATTTCAGACTGCAACTACTCATTGCAAAGGCTAAATTAAAATTATGCAGTTGTATATAAAGTAACAACATAAAGTGTACTAGTTAGTTTTTGTACGCTTAAGTTTTGTGCTTTTTCTTTTAATATTTGTTTGCTTCTCATTCTCTGGGGACATCCTGGCTGAGCACATGCGTTTTCTGATGCATATGCATGGGTTTTAGAAGACGTACGTTCCACCCTGTTGTGTGGCACCAGTCTCAACTCTGTCTTCACAAACTGTTTAAGTGACTTTGTTATGCCTTGGGTTGTAGGAAATCAGTAACCTCATCTACATATTGAACCCTGACAAATAAGCTAAATGGTAGGGATTTTACAGTTTTTAAAGACAGTGTTTGCTTCTTCCTGTACTCATTCCTCATCTTTGTGTTTCTTCATTTAGTTGCTGTAGATAGTACTAAAGTTAATTCTTTACCCATGTGATTTTTGTCTTTATATCCAGCACAGAACACAGAAAGCAGAAATAATTATAACAAACTATCAGTATTGGAAAACCTTTTTGCGTTGGTTTTGTTTTGGGTCTTGTGAGCTTGCTGTCTGGTGAAGGAAAGGAAGTGCCTTTCAGTTAACTTTCAGTTCCCTGGTAGTTGTCATCAGGGGGCTTAACCAGCAGCCCACAGAGCTGTATCATTTGGCCTGCAGGGTTCCCCGAGGGTCCAAAACTTGGGTGGAGGGCTAGTGGTGGCAGTGTTCTTTACCACTCCCCTGCTACCAGATGTCCAGACTCATGGGCAGCCCCAAGAGCTAGATGATGTGGCACTGCATACCAGGTTGTCCTAACACAGGGGTGAACAATTATTTGGGCTGGAGGGCCACATAACAAGTTTTGATGATCTCTTGAGGGTTGGGGGAGGGCTGGGAAGATGCCAGATGATCCTTTCCAGCCCATTGACCGCTGCCAAGAGCATGAGGAGGGTGGGCTGGACTGGATCATGCAGCATGCCGATTTCTTTGTCTTCCTGCATCCATTCCTCCTCCCCTTTCCCTCCTGCCCACCTTCCTGTTGGTGCTGTGTAGTTCTGACACAGTGGCCACCAGCACAGGACTGGGTACAACACAGTGCGCTGAGTGGCTGTCCCACCCACCTCCCTGTTCACTGTGATGAACCGCTGCTACTCCACACTAGCAAAGTCAGGGGCAGATGCCCCAGACTGAGCCCCCCCCCAGCCCTTCCTCTGCGGCTAGCACGGCCTCACCTTCTAGTGGCAGCAGCTCATTGTGGCAGGCGCGTGGGATGGCACCTTGGTGTGCTGCATCACTCCTCATTCTGTGCAGCCTTGACTGCTAGCGGTCGTAGTGCCAGAACCACGCAGTGCCAATACCATTCCAAGCTGGGTGGCAGAATGGAGTGGTACAGGGCACGCATGAGCTTTGGGCAGGCAGCAACAGCAAACATTGCCCAGCGTGGCAAGCGGAGGGGGCACAGCTGGTGTCACTGTGCCGCAGCTCTGATGGGCTAGCCCAGAGCCGGTGCAGGGCCCAGGCTGGTTGTGGGGGCAGATTACAAACTGGTGCTGAGCACCCCTCCTCCGCCCCATGGCTGGTGCCCCGCACCGCGGCTGCTTGCAGCCTGTATGGGGCTGCCTGTGCCTGCTCAGGACAGCCCCACGCGGGTTGCAAGCGGCTGCAGCAGGGAGCATGGGCCACAGGGTAGGTGAGGGTCTGCCTTTCCCCCGCGCTCAGCACCAGCTCCTTCCCTGCCAGTGAGCAGGG